ATAACATTCCGGATTTAGTCCACTGGTGAATTGTTCTGTTTTCAAAAGATGCTGAGAGCACCCCATGTTGTCCTTGAGGGCCCCACGTTGGTGACCCCTGGGTTAATGTCTTCAGTCGACCTATTGGCTATATTTGCAGCTGTCTGGCTTGAAGTCATCTTGAGTGCATCTTTCCTGCTCATTTGAATGTGAACGTCACGCGCGTCACTATAAAACTAATCGATCTCATTCCCTAGGCATCGAAATGTAAAGGAGTCGATTCAATCGAATCGATTTTGTACCCAGCCCTTGTCGGTATCGGTGCAACACTATTAAAGATGCTCTATTAACACATTCATTTTAATGTGATTTATATAATATGTTATATTACATGATTTATTGACTTCATGGTGACTATGCAATGTGATGGGCCGATTTATTTTATTCTAAGTTAAAGTTAATCTACTGATGCTATGAAACAGCAAGTCTGTGTCAAACTGATGAATTTATCTTTCTTTTAAAAGCATTAAGTCCCTGAAAATGAGAACATCATCGTTCAATGCTGAAGTGACGGATTGTTTACATTGAGACCGGTCTAAGGAGGGAGTACCAATATGGCTACTACTGACGGGGAATCAGCAATCCAGAGATCAGTGGATCCATTAAGCGGATTAAAGGAACCAGGGTCAAAGGTCAGCTGACATCACACCTGTATTTCCTGATCAGGTATCTGCAGTGGCGCAGCAGGTACTCCTTGGAGGGCCGACACAGTTTGAGGGACCAGAAGTCATCCAGGCGCATCTTAGGAGAACACGACTTCCCCGGGTTTCCACCAAACAGGTAGTGAACCTGGAAAGGTAGAGAAAATCAGCTGGAGTCTGGCGCACCTGGAACAAACCGCCGCGCGGTTAAAACGTTCAACATGATGATGATTCTACTCGTTTCCATCCCCTGGAAATGATAAATATCTAAGAACTTTAGGTCGATTTATCAGACCAAATGTCCTCAAAGCGGAAATAATCAATGAATAATAATAAAAACTAAAATGACTGTTAAATAAAAACAGCATTTATCTCCTGTCTTCACTCCACAATATGACATTTAACAATAAAACATAACATTTAACCTCTATTCTGTTCAAATACAGACTTTAGTTGTTTCCTTATTTCGTCATTCAGTGAAGTTTCCAGAAGTTGAACAGGAAGATAAAAACGTTTATTTGACCAAATATATGATATTTTAACTCAGACTGAACATTTTCTGCTGTTAATCAGGAAAATGTTTTAATAAATCCGGATGAGCTCAGTGGCTACGCGCTATGCTAACTATGCTAAAAGCTATTTCTAGAATCCAATGTGCCTTTGGATGTTTTAAACACTATTTCTATTTAAATATTGGGACTTTTTCTGATTGAAAATAATTATTTGATTATTAAGTTTTCTGTCAAACTAAA